GGCCAGGCGGCAGGAGCCTGCTCGGGAATGAATTTGGCTCCGACGTGGCCGTGCTCGATCGTCCTCTGGGTCTCAGCTGCTTCGTGTGTTCATAGATAGAAGAGTAATTTCCCTTCTTTCCTTCCCTTTTTTTCTTTTCTTTTAATGTTGTTGTTCGTCCTGACACGAGAATAGTTTTTCCATTGATTTTTGGAGAATGTGGAAGGGCCCCGACCTGGGCTGGGGACGGAACCTGCAACCCAGGTACATGCCCTTGACTGGGAATCGAACGCTCGACGCTTCGGTGCTCAGGACCGATGCTCTAACCACTGAGCCGCAGGGGCCAGGGCTCCTTTAATTTTATTTTATTTTTAAAATATATCTTTATTGACTTCAGAGAGAGGACAGGAGAGGGAGAGAGAGAGAGAAATATCCATGATGAGAGAGTCACTGATCGAGCCCGCAACCCGGGAATCGAACCCCGATCGCCTGGATCCCAGGCCGATGCTCAACCGCGGAGCCACGCCCGGCCGGGCTCCTTTGATTTTTTATTACGGAAATTTTCCATTCCAAACATAACCAAATGTGGAGACAATCGTGCCATGAGCCCCCAGGTGCGCCTCACCGGCTTCAACAGCCGCATCCCATAACCCCTCTGGTGGACCTCTACCTCGTCTCACCCCCGGCTTCTTTCTATTTTTATTTTTAATGTGTTTTTATTGATTTCAGAGAGAGGAAGGGGGAGGGAGAGAGAGAGAAACNCACTCGTCTCACCCCCGGCTTCTTTCTATTTTTATTTTTAATGTTTTTTATTGATTTCAGAGAGAGGAAGGGGGAGGGAGAGAGAGAGAAACATCAATGGGGAGAGTCACCGATCGGCTGCCTCCCGCGCGCCCCCTGCTGGGGACCCAGGAGCCTGCACCCCGGGCTGTGCCCTGCCCGGGAATCGAGCTGTGACCTCCTGGACCCTAGGTCATCTCCCGACCGCTGAGCCGCACCCAGCAGGGCACCCCCGGCTTCTTTGGAAGCAAACCCCTAAACATCAGTAAGTTCATCTGTAAATATTTCAGAATCAGAGCCCGTGTCTGTTGCTGCAAACGGAGATCTCGATTCTGGGGCTGACAGTTTGGGCCGGGACCAGCCGCGCGGCTCTTCTGCAGGTTCTGTCCGGCTCTCTCGTGGGGGTGCAGCTAGCTGGGCCGCCTCTGACGGCCTCCCTCACGCGTCTGACCGTGGACCAGGGAGCCTCGGCTCCCCGCCGGCCCCTCCAGCGGGCTGGCCTGGGCTTGCTCCCGCTGGCAGCCTTCCACCAGCTCCCAGTGGCAAGAGAGGCCAAGCCCCAGGGCGCTGCTGCTCCTCAAGCCTCTGCCTGTGTCTTGTTTGCTGACGTCCCGTTTGCCAAAACAAGTCGCCTCGCCAGGCCCAGAATCCACGAGAACCTGCAAAGCAGCAGGAAAAACGGGGCTCGTGCAAGGGGAGCTCCCCTCAGGTTATCGGCAGCTTTCTCAGCAGAAGGGACGCAAACAGAGGGAGTGGGGGTAACACCCCAAGTGCTTCCCTTGGAGCTGCTTTGGAGAGGGGGCTTCTGGGCAAGGCCGTCGGAGAACGGATCCCCAGGGCCCCTCCTCATGTGACCTCAGGAGAGTCACGGCAGGAGCTGGGGAGAGCCCCCAACCCGGGACACCCTCCCCCAGCCACCTCCTGAGGGCGCCAGGCAGGCTGACACCTGGGCCCGCCCTAAGTGTCTCTGTGCGATGTGGCCCCAGCGTCCCCCGCCCTCTGTGACGTCAGGAAAACATGCCCCGCCCCCAGTTCTCAGAATGAGTGTGTGGCTGGATGTCTGGGAAGATGTGATGAGCTGGAAGAGCCGCCCGAGCCCTGGCCGGCACGGCTCAGTGGTTCGAGCATCGGCCTGGCGCACTGAAGGGTCATGGGTTCGATTCCCGGTCAAGGGCACCTACCTGGGTTGCAGGTTCGGTCCCACGGGCAGGAGGCAACCAAGTTATGTGTCTCTCTCACATCGATGTTTCTCTCTCTCCCCCTCCCTCCCTCCCTTTCACTCTCTCTCAAAATCAATGGGAAAATATCCTCTGTTGAGGTTTAACACCAACAAAGAGAGCGACTTGAGCCCTGAGGTCGCCCGTGGGTGGCTCCTCACATGGAGACTGTGTTATAAATGCTCAGGGGAGGTGCGCGGCCTCTTGGACCCCACTTCTGCGCGCACCTGGCCAGGCAAACAGGAAGTGGGTTTGATGCGAGGGTGCACCTGGCAACACCCAGAGCGGGGCCACCTGGCTCCGTCTCGTGACACAGGGGCAGGTGGGCGGCCAGATGGGCCATGGGGACGACTAAGCCGCTCTCCCCCCTCAGGTCGCTCCCCGGGACAGGTGACCACGCCCGGCTTCCATTTAGGGACTCGGCTCTGACCCGGCCCCATGCGTTCGCCTTTAATCCCGATTCAGGAAGCTCTGAAACGCAGGACGCTTAAGCCTGGGGACGGGCGAGGGTAATGACATTTGGGCTTAGTGCGAAGTTAATTCTTTCCGCTCTTCGGGGTCTGGAGACACGCGGTGAACGCAGGTTTCGGATGGCGTATTTGGTGACGTGAGGTCTCGTGGTCCCGTGTTTGCAGGAGGCTCCCAGCCCGAGGAGGAGCTGTCCTGCTGAACGCTTCCCTTGGTCTTGACCTTTCTCTGGGTGCAGCTGCTATGAGCTTTTTTTTTTTTTTTAAATACACATGTTTTTATTGATCTCAGAGAGGGAGAGAGAAACATCAGTGATGAGAGTCATTGATCGGCCGCCTCCTGCTCGCCCCCTGCTGGGGATCGAGGAGCCTGCACCCCGGGCCTGGGCCCTGACCGGGAATCGAACCGCGATCTCCTGGTTCATGGGTCGTGGCTCAACCACTGAGCCACGCCAGCTGGGCATCATGAGCCTTTATTCCTCACTGGTCCCAAGTCCCCGAGGCCTTTCTGCATCCTGACAACGAATGCGTGGAGAGGCAGAAAGAGAAAGCAATGGACAGGTAGAAGGACACAGAGAGGAAGCAACGAGTCACAGGCATCAGCCGGCAAAACCAGCGTCCCCAGTGAAAATCGTGGCCCCAGACACCGTGAATCCACAGTCACACAACACGTCCCGCCTGCGGCAGACATGGCTGGTGGATTACAGGGTTCCTTACAGAGCCGATTACAGAGCACCACCTGCTTTCTTCTTGCCTGAGCTCACTTAGAACCAGCATAACCAAGGGTCTCGAACCAAGGAAGCTGGAAAGCGGGCGGCTTGGCCTTTGGCCTTGACTTAGAGCAGGAAGGGCCTCCAGCCGGAAGCTACTAACACCCCAGCTGAACTGCACCTGCCGGTCCCAGCGGACGTCACTATTTGGAGGCATCTAAGGCCCTTGGGACAAGATGAGAGCAGAAATACCTGCAAGTCAGCCTAAGAGCCAATGAAACCTCCAGATCCCGTCCTTCGCCGTCGCAGGACTTTCCTCGCCTCTCCCGGTGGAGTGTAGAGTTTGCTGTCTGAGAGGCTGACTCACACGGTCTCTGGGGGTGGGAACGCCAGGCACCGCCGAGCAAAAGGGCACCTTCTGGACACAGAGCAGGTAGATGTGAAATGCCCCGGGCACAGCTCTGGGAGCCTCAGCAGCCAGGCCCGTCCTCCCAAGCAAGGGACTGGAGGGTTCCTCTCAGCAGGAATCATTTTATAGGAAAATAGACAGATGCTGGCAAGCCCCCGGCCTCCCAGGTCCATGCCCAGGCCCCTCACCGGACTCACCCGCCAGGCACAGCCTCTGAGCTCCTGCTTTTCAAACGGACGTTTCAGAAGAGCCCCTGGCGGGAAAAACCGAGACCGGAACAAACCAAATGAAACCGAACTCAGAAGAAGCGGACACAAGTCAGGGGGCACAAGAGAAATAATTAAAGGCAGTATCTTTTTGATATTTTTTTCCACTGATTTTTTTTTTTTTTGAGAGAGAAGAAGGGAGGGAAGAGGGGGAGGGGAGAGAGTGAGAGAGAGAGAAGCATTGATGTGAGAGAGACACATCGATTGGTGGCCACCCGCATGTGCCCCGAACCTGCAACCCAGATACATGCCTTTGACTGGGAATCGAACCCGTGACCTTCGGCTCATGGGCTGACGCTCTAACCACTGAGCCAAACAGGCCAGGGCCAGAGACAATATGGTAAGATGGGGGCTCCGGTCGGACTTCGTGCGAGTTTGGACCTGGTGCCGAGGTGTGTGAGCCGTCCGGGAGGCCGCCACAGGGGCCTGCGTGTCTTCGCGGGAATACACGGCTGTCCTCTCGAGACTCAGTCTGCGTCCCTGCGCGTGGCAGGTGACACTGGTCCCCGTAGAAAAGAGAGGACGGTCGGCTCCCTTGGACCTTCAGCCACTCCTGCCCCGAGCAGCTCCGCGGGGAGCACCTGTCAGGTGCCCACAGCCCAGAGATTGCCAAGACCTGGGGCCCTGCCTCCCTTAAGGAATTGAATCCTTTATAGGGGGGCAAGGCAGGCACCCCCAAAATAGAAATCGTGGGTGAGCCAACATAAGATGATGTAAAAAGTCAGTGCCGCCTCATTGCCACCAAATGAACAAGGGGACGTGCGCGCGATGGCCGGGGCGAGGAACCGCGAGCCCAGGCCGGGCCTTGGTGCTGATTTGGCGGGTGCTCAAGTGGACGTGGGGGGACTCAGGCGCCAGCTGTGGGGGGCTGTCTGCTCTGGACGTGTGCCTTTCTCGACACCCAAATCCTCCCATTTGACCGCCCTGGGCAGCCGCCGCTTTCTCAAAGTAGATTTACTTTCAATCGCCATTTGCTAAATCTGCCCCCCCTAAACCTCTGGGGGGTGGAGGGATTAGGGCTGATTCCAGATGTTCTAGAAGGACCCGGAGTCGGGCAGGCGAGGCCGGCGCAGCTCCTCGGGGGCTGACCCAGCTGCGGCCGGCCTGGTCCCGGGCCCTGGGCCCCTTCCCCCGGCCCAGGGGCTGCCCCTGTGGGGGTCCTGCCTCTGCGCACCCCAGGGTGCAGGCGGGGGCGTCATGGGCTCTCAGAGGAAGATGAACAGCTCCTTCAAGCGGGGCTCGCTCAAGAGCTCCACATCGGGGTCGCAGAAGGTGAGTGAGCTTTGCCTGGCGGCCTACAGGCAGAGGGACAGAAGGACAGAGGGACTCTGGTCTCCAGCTCCTGGGAGTGCTGGTCGGTGGGCTGCCGTCCTCCACAGACTGTGGTGGGTGGGGGTGGGACATCCAGGCCCCTTCTCGGGGGGCGGTCCCCCTTTCCTGCCGCCGTGTCCAGCTTTGTCATCTCCCGGCTGCTCCCACCCTCCCAGACATAGCCCGTGGCCCTCACGGGATGTGTCTGGGGTGTGAGCTGCGCAGATTCTCTGGCCAGACCTCAGTCAAGTCCCCGCAAGTAGGAGACCCCATCACACTCTCACTCGTCTCTCTATGGCTTCACCGTCGCACGTGGAATTAAATCTGAACTCCCACAGTGGTGATCGGTCAGTTGTTGTCTTAAGTTTTCAATCCATTGAAAACGGACACTTTTTCTTTTTTAAAAACTTTTTATTGATTGATTTGGAGAGGGGGAGAGAGACAGAAATGTCGATTTGTTAGTCCACTTATTTATGCATTTATCGTATGTGCCCTGACCGGAGATCAAACCCACAGCCTTGGTGGATCTGGACGACACGCTAACCAACTGAGCTACCTGGCGGCCAGGGGGAAAATGGACACTTTCGTAGAATGCAAGAAAAATGAATTACTGAAAAGTGATTTCAAAAAAAGATACAAAACCCATGGATTCCTTCACGTGGCTGCACTGAGCGGGCCCCTTGCTGTCCGCCCTCTGTCCTGGCCCGTAGCGGGGGGTCTGCAGCTCCTGCTCAGAGCACACTTCGGTACAAGGGACCAGAGGCCCCGCACATCCCATCTGCCCTCACCCCAACCCCATGGAGGAGGGGCCCTGGTTCCTTCGAGCTGAGGAAGATGCTCGGGGTGGGAGGGTCCTCACTCCAGACTGTTTCTCCCAAGGAGCTGCAGCCGGCCGTTTCCAGAGGGGCATCTCCCAGGGCCCGGCAGACACCCTCTGCACCGAGTCCCGGGGAGACGCGGAGCTGGGCTGCTGGGCTTGCGCCGGTGTGAACACAGGGCTCTGGGGGCACCCCCGTGATGGGGTCCAGGGCCCTTGAGTTGCGGTGGGGGTGCCACAGAGCGTCCTCAGCTTGGGGACAGGCTAGCCGGCCAATGCTCCCTCCACCCACGTGAAGACAGGTGCCTGGGAAACGGTGAATCCAGCCCCTCTTTGGGGTTCGTAGGGCTGTCCCCACCTCCGGCAGGTCCCCATCTCTCAGTCTCTTTGACTTCTTACTGTTCCGTAGCCCCCACTTGGCTGAGTCTTCCCCTCGGAGGGGCAAAGGCCTCAGACTAGGCCAGGGGCGGGGAGGGACGGCAGGGATGGGCCGAGGCCGTTTTCCCAAAGGACACTGCCCCCTGCGGTCCCAGAGAAGGGGGCCGGGGGGGAAACTGGGAGGAAGACAGGCGAATGTGAGGTCAGAGG